TATGAGCTTTTTCCATGATTTTTCTTCTTTCTTTTTTCTTTCTGTTTTGAATCTTAAACATAATTAAAGTTAATGATCCTGCCAAAAATTGCATTTTTGTTTTCTATACCTTGCTAGGAACTGGCAAGATTTTGCCATTATACATCCAAATAAGTATGATTTTTTTCTTCTTTCTATATATAGATTTACTGATATCAGTGTTCAACTTCATTACATTATTAATTATTTGCTTTTTGCAGGAGAGAAACCCTTTTTAATGGGTGATAAACCTACTGAGGTGGACTGTGCCTTGTTTGGATTTCTGGCACAGGTTGTGTGGAACTCTGCTGGCTCTCCCTACTTGCAGATGCTTGAAAGTGTGTACTGTTTTAATTTTTCATTTGATACTTTTATACTATTAATGATGATAACTTTAATCACAAAGTACAAGTAATATAACATACAGAAAATGTTACGAAGGTATTATATTCATGTTATTAATGGCATATCAATTTGTCAGTAGTAGCATTTTCCAAGTTTTTTAGATTTGATTTTAATTTACCCCTTTCTCTTTTGTAGCTGAGTGCATAAACCTCCAAGCTTATTGCCATCGCATCAAGGAGAGATTCTGGCCAGATTGGGGACAGTGCCTCAATCCACCCCAGTCCCAGATCATCCAGTAGACAGTCTTGCCCACAGGCACTTGACATTCCATCAGTTACAGTAGAGAAAGATTACATTGACAATGTAGGAAAAGGTATTAATGAGGATTTAAGATCACAATAGATGTAATTTTCATATTACAATCAAGTTTAAATTGAATTAGGGAATTATTCATTCTTTGTGAATTAACTTTTTTCTACACATGTCAGTAAACACTGTTTTAATGAGTACAGTCATTGGATATTCAGACTAAACACGTCCAATGCTTTTAATCAGAAATTAGTGTGTGACATTGTTTGGCAACCAAATGAAGACATTCATGGGTAACAACATGGGTAATCATATCAATATCATTCAAGCCCCAAACTGCATTAATTTCCGTATATATTCATTGCTTTAAAATCTAGAGTCGTAGCCAGGCACAAGGTTTATTTGGTTACCAACAATGGTACCAGACTAATTCTGATGATGAGCTTTGGGCTGCATACTGTGCAGCAATTGTTTTTGTTCTTGTTGAAGTTTAGAATTATCATTAACTGTGCCTTAGAAAGTTGTATTTTGTAGAAAACTGAAAAATAGACGGAAAAGGAAGTTGTATTTCATATAAGGATACGTAGACGTTCTGTGAATCAACATTTTTAAAGTTACAAAGCTTTTTTAGGGTCATTCATTTATAGAGAAAGATTTACAATATTTGACATCACACCAAGAGGAATATAAAAGCAGTATGAGATATTATGTGATGCTACTCACACGGAGTTGGATGCAGGTAATAGGAAAGGAAATGTCATTGGATACATATCTTGTAATTTCATCAAAGTATTCTTAGATTATCTATGGAGAAAGATGCACTGATGATTCAGTCTTCTTTTCTTCATAAAAGACATACATGCTCATTTACTTGCTTATACCAACAGCTTACAAGAAGTACTATGTATATACTCCGTACGAAGTCAATGTGTATGAGATAATTTACTAGGCAAGTTTTCAGCCATAGTTAGACACACAAGCAGGTATGTGTATAAGAAAACAAGAGACAGGTATTTTAGGGCTATTATCTACATGCTTTCTGACAACTAGAACCATTCATAGACCAAGACAGACAAAAAGGAAGAGGATAATCATCCTGTAATTGCCAGCTATGTTGACTATTGTGTTGCATGCTCTTCAAACTGTTATTTAATTTAATATGAAGATGACTGTCTAGTATTTATTTAAATGTTTCAATTTCCTTTGCTGATTTTGATGAATATTACACCCTTTTATTTATACATTAGGGCTATCCCTGAGGTCCACTTTTTTTAATCGCCAGAATACTTTTTGAGTTATAGTAAAAAAAAAGAAAAAATGCCAAACCACAAATTTAAAAAATGACAGTCTTTCAAAAAGCAGATAAGATCCAGAAAAAATCACACAGGCATTCAGATTTCATCTTTGTATAGATTTATTCTTAATCTAATGCATGATCGAAGAACTTTTTTTGTGTGTGTGAATATTTGAAACAGCAGATTTTAGGAAGGGGCAAGGTTTGTTTTTATAATTATGTTTGTAAGAACAACGGAAAATTGCAAAAACAAAATGGAAGAAGCGCTAATTTATATTAGCCCTAACAAAATGAACCATAAAACCACGCCTATAACTTTTGAAGCCTACAAAGGTAGAGTTTCCGATATTGGCAGTTGAATTTTTCCATATATTTGTCATAATTTTCAGGAAGAATTATTAACCCATTATCCTCTAATGTGCTATAACTTTTGAAGCCTACAAAGGTAGAGTTTCGAAATATTGGCAATTGAATTTTTCATATATTTTCATGATTATTTTGGTATTAACAAAATGAGGCATAAGAATTATCTTACTATTACATAATCCTCTATCATTTACCTACATTCCGAAGCCTTGCAAACATTCCCAACACGTAAGAGTATCTCACCCACCAAGCAACTTATGTTATCGTAGGGTCACACTGATTTGGAGTGTTTCTCGGAGTACATTGACCATTTTTCAAAAATTCTCTAAAAAAAAAAAAAAAAAGATAAATAAAAAAAAAAAAAAAAAAAAAAAACACCTGCATTCTGATTTCATTTTTGAAATGGAAAAACCTTTTATCTAGTGCATGTTCAAAGCACAATTTTCGATTGTGACCTAGTTTTTTGGGGAATATTTTATGGAAATGACTTTTAGAACACCATATAAAGTTATTCTTTTATATACATCACTTTTACTGAAAAAAATTGTGAAATCTTTGTGGAACATGCAAGAGACCAATGATTTAGATATGGAGTGAGCAGTGATACATTTATTTTGGACTAAAATTGTGTGTGCTCTGCGTTAAGATATAATGTATGTAAATATTGCGATTTGATTCCTCATTATAGTTTTTTCAGTTTCGATAAGAAATGCTCAGTGATATAGTTCTGTATGATATCATCAACAACTATTTCCCTTTATTGCTCTAATAGGATTTTACAACATGTAATACTGGTCTGAAATATGATCGTTTCCATGCAAGCAAGTATCACATTCGCAGGCCAGGACGTGAGAGAAGGAGCTATGCTCATGTGGTTTTGAGGTGAGGGTCCCAGGCCTTGGAAGGCTACAGGATAAAACACCCACCCTTCACAACACTCCCATGAAATACAGATATGAAAAATACAGGGTGGTATAAAACTATGTATATAAGATATACAAGTATATACAGACCATTTCCATGTATTCCATAATCTTATGTATATATAAATTGTTACCTCTGTTTGTTTGCTTGTTTTGATTGCAGTTATTTTAGACACAGGGAATTTTTTCTAACTCAAAAAGTTGTGGACAGATTTATATTTTTACCTGAGGTGTGTCTTAGCCTAGCTTATATTTCATTACATTTTAGTGGTGATATGGATCCTTTGTGGGGCTGGCTGCGTGCTCAGGATATTTTGCTCAGGGATGAAACTGTTGAGATATGATCCAAACATAAAGAAAAGAAAATACTCCATATGAATGGCATATCATTCTCATTTATTTGTGACCAAAATTCTTTGTTATTTTTTGGATGCTGCCCAGATTTTTTAGATTATTCCAAAAAAATGAAGGTTGGTCTCATATGTGAAATTTTATAAACATTCAGAAAATAATCTAATTTTTTCACTATATTTAATCATTATGTCATAATTGCCGATTTTCAAAGGTGAGGTGAAAAATCATAATATGGCTAGATGGGCAGTTTTTGCCCAAAAATGACCAGCGGTCCCCATAAGGCTTAAAAATTTCATGTCTTAAAACTATGTTTAAAAGAATTTTATATTAAACGAAAAGTTACTTCAGGTATGTCTAAATCTTTTAAGAGAATTTATTTTACACACTGCTTGGCAATGTGTGAATGTGAAAAATGTTACCATTGTCATTTCTGATAGTTGTGTTTGGTGCATCATTCTCAACCCGTAATATAGTGGCAACAAGTGCATGGGCTGCGTTCTGCGGTTTTGATTTGTTAATCCTTGTTACTTATAAACAGCTTTTCAAACACTTGGTTGGCAATGGGTTAACTGCTTACATAATCATTACTATTATCATCATTATTTTAGTATTATTAACAATGACATAAAAAAACTGCCCCTTACAAAAATTAAAGAGTAGGATAATTGGTTTGGTCAAGTAGGACTAATAATTTCTTGTGACTTAGTGCTGTTAGTGCACCTGTGTGTAAACCAAATTGATAAAGCAGAACCACAGTGGACATTGCATGCCTACTTTCACTACTGGAGTTGAAGGGTTTATGCAACAGAGTGCAGTGCTTTGTGTTCATCAATTTTGTTGAGTTTTTTTCTTGACAAGTGTTATATATATGTTTATATTTCAATTGGAAGTATATGGACATTTTATATGAAGGTTTATGTTTAGCCAAATAACACAAATAATACATACATATGATATTTATTATAAAATTCAACTAAATCTGTTGAATGTAACACACAGCTTATATATAAATATATATATATTAATCTTAAATAACTTACAAGAAGGCATTGCTTAGATGTATTGCAGAAAGTAAACTCTAGTTAAGAATACCCAGCTGAAGCATAAATATACAGATACAAGTGATAAACATTGACATTCACAGGATATACAACCATGCATACAAGCTACATAGCAAGGTCAAGGATTTTTTTCTACAATGCATATTTTCAAACATTTCTTTAAAGTTTAAACACTGAAAATCAGTGTCCCATAGAGAAAAGTCAAATTTAAGTTCTGACAGGAGGTATTGGTGACAATTCTCTCTTCAGTGTATTTCCTGGCTTTGTGAGTGGAGGTTCCTGTATACTTTTCAGCCCAGTGGCTGTTGATGCATTTCCTGAGGCAGCTTGGAGGGGCACGCCAAAGCCCAGTGAAGTGGTTAGTCTGGCCTGGTCTTCAGACAGGAATGTGATTGATCCTGAAGGGGATATAACAGACACCACTCTGGGTCTGCTTGTACTCACAGATGGAGAGGGGGGTTGTGGAGCAGATGATGTACTAGGAACTTGGGTTACAGGGGCTAATGCAACAGGGACTGGTGTTGCAGGGGCTGATGCGACAGGCACTGGTGTTACAGGGGCTGATGCGACAGGCACTGGTGTTACAGGGGCTAATGCAACAGGCACTGGTGTTACAGGGGCTGATGCGACAGGCACTGGGGATACAGGAGCTGATGTAACAGGGATCGGTGTTACAGGAACTGATGTAGCAAGGGATGGTGTAGTCTGAGTATTGGCACTTACAACAGTTTGTCCATGAGAGGTTGCTGTAGTTGATGCAGGGAGGCTCTTGACAAAGCTTGCCTCTACTGACTTTCCTTCTCCACCAGACGATGTCTGGGCAAGATGAAAATTCCTGAGCAGTTGGACAAACTGATTAGGATCAGAAGTAATAGAAAAGTTTTCTAGGAAATTACCCGTGGATGACTGGCTGCCAATGGCTGAGTTGGGGTTTCCTGAGGCTGCCTGAAATGCTGAAGACGAAAAGAAAGAGCTAAATGGTAGAGCCAGCACGATACCAGGAATCACTTTGCTTGCTTGTCCAGTCACTGAAGCAGTTGCATGCACATCTTGTGTCTGCTGCTGGACTGAATTTGCCTGTGTCTTTATGTCAGGTGCCACTGTCTGTATTTGTAAAGTATTCTGCACTGGTAGATTAGATTCATTAGGGTTTACCTGCCCTATCTTTCCAAGGGATCCTTCTACCACACTTGTTTCTGTGTTAACTGTAGATCCAGTTGATGTTCTTGTTGCTGTGTTTCCAATAGATCCAGTTGTTACATGCGGTTCCACTGTTTTTGATCTTTCTATCCCGCTAGCCAATCTAGATCCTAAGGATGCACTTGTCCCAACTGCTGAGCTTAAAACTGATTTCCCAATGGCAGTTTTGGCAACTAGTTGTTCACTACCTGTATGAAGGGAGGGCGAAACAGCGGGGAGGACGGGCCGGGATGTGCTTTGGTCAGGGAACAGTTGAGAAGAAGCAGATGCAGATGTCTGTGTCTCAACTGCAGCATCTGTGACATGAGCAGGAGGTGTACTGGTGGAGGTCGTAGCTGTGGTGGAAAGGGTTCCACATGTGCTGAAGTTAGTAATCTTAATTGCAGAGGAGGGAGATGATGGAGCCTTCTGCGTGGTGGTGACAGGAATATGTGTGGTGGGATTGGGCACTGCCACACTTTTGCCAATCTGCATGTCTTTTGGGAAGGAATGGGGTCCACTGTTCAGTACCAAGGGTGCTGCCAATGTGGCAGTGGTGGATGAAGTGTTGATGGCTTCTCCTGTAGCAAAGGAAGCTACAACAGGAGCTAATCCAATTCTTGAAGTGGCCACTGGTCCTATCTCGTCGCCAGCCTGCTTACTGGTGGGACCTTGACTGGCAGCAATATTTGATAAACCTGATGCTGTAGTATCTGAAGCAGCTGCCGAGGAAACAACACCAGCAATGTTCAAAGCAGGTATTTCATGAAGTCTCTTCGTGTCTGGTGCTATATTGCTTGCTGGTAACGGTGACTGTTCTACTACTGTAGCAGTATCTGCATTGCTTCCTGACAATGCAGGACCAGAAGTTTTATCTGAACCGCCTTGATTTTGTACTGACAGGCCTGCTGTGGTTGAGGTGCCCATGGCAGGAAAGTCCTGTCCCTGAGCAATACCTTGGTTCCCTCTTGGATTTACACTGGCCCCTGTAAGCACAGGCTGCCCATGAGCAATTGCGAGGCCGGGGCGAGCCAGCGCCTCCAGATTAAGAGTTACTGTTGATGTCACGTCACTGGTAGTTTGAGCGACTGTGGCACTGGTGGAAGTGTGAGGAGCTTGGGCATCGGTTGAAGTGGGCGCCTCCTGAATTTGCACTGTAGCAGACGGCTCTCCATGCGCCATTGCCAAGTCAACTGCGGCAGACCCCAACACCCCTATCGCAGCGGTGTCAACATTTTCGAGGAGACCCTGAACAGAGGCATCAGTGGATCCTCCAGGGGCTACAGGAAGGTGTGTAGGCCTCGCACTCTGGCTCAGAGATTTCCCCTCTCCAGGGTTAGTCGAAATGTGCGTTTGCTCGCCAACTGAACTCAGCGATGTGTCCTGGGTATCTAGAATACCAATTTTGCTGATGGCAACGGCAGCTGAAGGATTCTGCACGATTGCGTCTCCCACTGCAGGACCTGAGAGGCCACCTGAGGCGACTGGCGATGCCTGAAGTAACTCAGACATGGCCTGCTTGACTTGCTGTGCAAGCATTTGGGTGACGCTCATCTTTTCTGGCACACTTCCTGTCAATGAAGAAGTTGGAGTGTTTATACTGAGAGGTCTAACTTCTGCCTTAACAATGCCAGGTGATGTCACTGCCGAA